GACTATTTAAGGTAAGAACTATTATTCCTTTAGTCACTTCGAATGCAATCATTAAGTGTTTTTAGACCTTCTCATCCAAGACTTTATACTGTTATTGGAGAGTCAACAATTCTTAATTCTGTTGAAAGTTCTGATGGTATTAAAAATAGAAATACTAGAGAGTGGGGAGATTTGATGACAACTTATGTTATGCTAAAATATAGAAAATGGCAAATAAAAGATAGAAGAACTATGTCATTACATTCTTTTCATCAAAGATGTTCAGAAGAATTATTTAATGATTTAGGAATTAATAAAACTCCTACTCAAATTAGAGATAAAGTAAATAACACTCGTTCATCTTATCATGCGTTAATTAAACAATTACAAAAAGAGTCTTTTAAATGGACTCAAGAGAAACATTATAGTCTTTCAAAACCAGTATTTGATTTTATGTCAATATTTTTTGAAAGTAATAATACAATAACATTAGATCAAATTAATCAAAAAATTGTTGAAGTAATTCAACAAAATAAGTCTTAAAATATTTTTACAATTAAAACCCATTCATGTGAATGTATACTGTATTATTTTATTTAATATTTTCTTTTATTTTGTTGGTTCTTTAGACGTTAATTAAAAAAAAAAGGCAAAAAATTCAAATTTTATTTTAAATTTAGAAAAGAAATATTTCTTTAATTTTTTTTATTCTGAAATAAATTATTTTTTTATTGTATTTTATAAGTTATTTCAAGTTTTAGAAGTATTTTGACAATAACCAATATTAAAAAACCATCTTATTCAACAATAATTAAATAAAACTTGTTTCAACAAAAATGAACTGTACCTAAAAAAACTGACTTACTTTTTTATTATAATAAAATATTGAACATTTAAATAAATAACATAAAAAATTTATTTTTTTTTTTTCATTACAAATCTTTTCTTATGTTTTAGACATTTCCTTTTTTTCATGAAAACTTTAAATAGAACAAAGTATATTTTTCTTTAATGAACAATTATGGTTTGTATCAACTATCTCATTTCTATCTTAACAAAAACATTTTCTTATTAAAATAGCTCTTTCTCTTAAAGGTGGAAATATTTGTGAAGTTAAAATAAAAGATAAAAATGTGTTATGTATTAATACAATCGCATTAGTCCCTTCAAAAACAGGAACAAATTATATCATACTTCATATGACTACAAGCTCAGGTAAATCTGCTTTTATTTGTAATTTAAATGAACAATCTAATATGTATCAAATACAAACAAAATTAGAATTCCTTGAAAATGAAATTGTTTCTTTTGAAGCCATTGGTACAGGAGAAGTTCATCTGAGTGGTGTACTATTTTTCTTTGATTCAAAAAAGGAGAATTGATTTATTTATTACTTTCTTTAATATCATTTTCATTTCACTTTTCTCTTTTTTTTAATCATCATTGTTTGAAACATACTCAAAAACCCCTTTTTCCTTAATAAAAAATAATAATAAAAGAAAAATAAAAAAGTTATTAATAAAAACCCTAAAATTTCAAGAAAAAGAGAAAAATAATAAAGAAAAATTGAAAATTAAAAAAGAATATTAGATTGAAGATTTGATAATGAACGAAGAGGTTGAGTATATATATGACGAAGTCGAATTAGAAGATAATGAAATTCAGATACTTGAATATAAACCTGGATGCCAAGAGTTTGGAGGTTTTTGTAATAAAAATGAATGGATGTATTTAATTAATGATAATATTATGTTATTATATTCAATACAAGATAATGTCATTATTGCTCAAAAAACATTTACTAGTAATATTGTTTGTGTCGAATCTTTCAATAAATATCTTTTCATTGGTTTAGAAGCAGACACAAAATTAATAGTAATCAACTGTGAAACTAGTGGAACAATCGATATCGAACTTTTTCGTCCACCTTTAAAGTTATCAAATATTGGATTATATCCTCAAGGTCTACAATTTTTAGTACTTAGTGAGCCATTCAAAATTGATGGGGTTGTTCTTTCATTACCTGAGGGGTCTTCTCAATGTATATCTTTATCTTTGCCAACATTTCAAGGAGAGACATTGCTACCAGACGAAAAAGCAATTGTAAGAAAAAGTATTCGATTATCTAAAACACCAGTAAAAGCACCTCATGTAAGAACATCACTTACTGGAGAAAAACCTTATAATATGAATTTTATAATTTTACCAGAAGATGTTCATGTTTTTAGACTAGATGGTAAAGTTATTACAATTGGAACTAAAAATGGATTCTTATTACAATACCGATGGGATAAAAATATTGAGCTTGTAAGTTCACAATTTATTGTTCCACAGTGCAGGAGTATTGTAGGATGTAGTATACACAAAGATTTTTGTGTTTGTGCATCTATGAAAAGAGATAAAGATTCATGGGGAACAGTATTTCTTACATATTATATTTTCACTGAAGATGATATTAGTGCATATAAATGTTATGAGTATGTTGGATATGAATTTGTATCTATTGATTGTGTTAAAGATGAAAAAGGTACAGTATATTTTCATACAATTTTATTAAATCTAAAATTTGGTAGTTATGAAACAATACTTTATGACCTTCAATTTAATTTATTCTCTCAAGTATGTTCTAGTATTTTAGGAGATAGTATTATTATTAATTCTCGGTATGAACCATTTTCTGAATGTCCTTTTAATGCTTCCTTTTTAAATACTATTGGAGTAAAAGAAAATTTATTTTTACCTAAAACAACTTGTATTTTTTCAAGAAACCCAGAAACTAATAAATATCGAGTTCAAAGGTTATTATCAACATGTAAAATATTAGATGAATTTAGACTTTATCTCACTGAAGGTTTACCGTATTTCTTGTTATATAAAGAAGTACCAAAAGAAATTCTTGAAAAATATAGAGATTTTCCAAAAAAATTAAAAATTGAACGTCTTTTAAATAATCAATATGATGAAAAAACATTATTTACTGAAGAAATAGCAATGACTTTTGAATTTAATGTTTTTGATGCAACATTAGAATTAATTGAACAAGACAAACAAATATTAAATTCTGATAAACAATTTATTGATCAAAATAAATTATCATTAATGAAAACTATTATTTTTAATCACTCTATTAATTATATGTCATTTGTCCATACTCTTTTTGAAAAAGATTCTATCAGGACTGTAAGAAAAGAAGAAATTGATTTTGCTTATCGTCGGTTAGAAAAAATTCAAGAATTTTTTCAATTATTAGAAATGGAACATTCACAACTGAATAGAAATATTGCTATTTTATTTCTGTTACAACAATTTTATCCATTTTTTGATAATTTTCTTGATGCAAAATTATTACAAGTTGGTAGAATTATGAACTACATTTGTAACCATATTAATTATCAAACTGACAATGATTTTTGCTGTCTTATTAAAGATGGGTTTAAGTTTGGAAATGAAACACTACTTGCTTGTAAACTTCGTTATATTATTGAATTAGACGAAATTAGAAATGATTTTGACCCTAAAGCCTTCTTTCCATTTTTACGGGTTGCTGTTGATGAAAGAGTACATCTTCTTGGTGGCTCATTTTATTGTTTTGATTTTTTACGTGGCCAAAATGATAATGGATATGCATTAGAACTCTTTACATTGTTTGTCAAATACAAATGTTTCATTGAAGTAACTTATAGGTCACAACTCCCAAATTGGATTCATAATTTTATTGAAGAATTAGTAAAGACAGATATTCTTTCCAAAGAGTTAGCATATGAATATATTAATTACTTAACTGAAATGGTACAAAAAGCTCGTGCTCTGGTAGGTGATTTGGCTGTTCCAGTGACTGTAGAAAATGATGATATTTTTGGTATTAATGATGAAAAACAATAAATAAAATGTAACTTTCAATTTCTTTCATTCATTTTCTTTAATGGTTTTCTTATATTAAATTTCTAGATACTATTTTCCTTTTATTTCAGTTCTGTTATTTTAAAAATTCTTATCCAGTTGCATCGTACAGGGTTAATTCTTATATCTGGCAAAGAAAATATATTAAGCATAAATATTTATTTACTATATATATTAAATCCATTCATTAAAATATATGATGGTACAGTTTACAGTTTTTCTCAAGCAACTATACACTTATCGTCAAAACTAAATCAGAATTATGGAAATATAAAACAATTATACTGTATAAAATAAATATAATGGAGAAATATCTATTTTAATTTAAGAACAAAATAATAAAATAATAAAACTAAAATTATTTTTACCTATCTTTGATTGAAAAAATTTAATTTACTAATCACATTTATATTGCGTTATTTGTAACATTTTAACTTGAAAAATAAACTGTTTACACCTACACTCTTCCTCATATCTAGTAATAATATCTACTTATATTTTCATGACATTTTATAACAAAAAATTACTGAAAAATATCCTAAAACAAAAAAAAAGGTTTAAGTAAGTTTCATTTTGTCTTATTCATTACTATTTAATTATTTGTTGGTTGATTTTTGATACACTTTGATTTCAAGTTGTTTTTATTAAAGTCACTTAATTTAAATTGACAAATGTTAATGTTTAGAGAAGTGAATAAATGAATTGAACCTTACAAACATATTGAGTTAATTATAATTAGTTAAGAATAAAAGAGTCATGTTTAAATGAAGTGACATTAAAAGAATGAGCTTCTAACTATAAATTGATGTTTGTTAGTTTATTTTAGATGCACTATTAATGATTTATAGATAATAAGAGTTGTTATTTTGTTGAATATTAAAATATGAAAAGAAAACACCTCCATTGTTTTTCTATGAGAAATGCAAGTATTGGATATCTTAAAGACTAGGTAAAAGTAAAAGAAGTGACAAGTGAAAGATAAAAAATGTTAGAACCAATTTCTTTTTATTATTACATTTTAGTAAATTAGTGTTCAAAATCTAAATGATATTGAGGGTCATTCTGCCTTAAGATATTTTGTGGATAAAATGGATGGCAACTAAACGCTATAAGACATTCTTTTAGAAATAGTTGTAATTCATAAAAGGTTTTTTTGAAACAGAATTTAAAATGCTGGAATGTGGACTATCAAAGTCATTAGGTGGTTCATAGTGTTGAGAAGGCTCTCCATATTGTTTGACTATAATTTCATTTCTAATATAATTTACTGCATCAACAATTGTTTTATCACACCAACTTTGATGACTTTTTTTGTCTGATTGGAACATTACCCAACCACATTTCTCACACTCAATAACTTTTTTATCACAACTTCCATTTATATGACGATCCATAGACAATAACTCACACTTGATATGGCATTGAGGACATGTTTCAAGGGAGTGGAGTTTGGCATGCTCATTTAGTTTATCTTTCAGAGTTATAGCACTACAAATAGGACATTTTGTAGTTAATTTTTTACATTGAGACTGATGAATTTTGAGTTTATTCTCAGAAACCCATAACCCACAAAGAAGGCATTGTATTTTTCCATTATGGTTTTCATCATTGAGAGAAGCTACTTTTTCGTTTCTAAAAATATTTTTTGTTTGAACCTTGGTACTCACATTCTCTGTATCACTTTTTTGAGTATCTTCTTCCTCTTCTTCACTACCATTTTCAATAAAGCTTTGTTTAGGAGAGGTATTAGATAAAAAAGGATTATCATAATCAATATTGATATCTTTCATTAGTTGGGATATGTAAACCATGTTAGATGGTTGCAATTGTTTAATCACAACACAAGCTTTTGTGATTGTATGAAAATTGTCCTCTTCAGAAGAAACATTAATTTCTAAAAGTTCATTGACATAAAGAGTAGAGTAAAACTTTAACACAGACTGAAGTGGTTCAATAATATTTTTTAATGAACAACATTCCATATTCATTGCCTCAAATCTGATAGATGTAACTTCTTGGAGTTGTACTAATTGGACACTAAGCGTATCATATCCAGGAAGAAGTTTGTCTGAAATAAAAATGACGTTAATAGGAGATGGACCTTCAACAACAGCAGGGACGATTTTATTTGAACGAGGAGGTTTTAAAGTGACGAAAATTCGTTCATTCTTAGAGTTTTGAGCAAAAGATTGATAAAGAGATTGTGGGATGAATATAGCATCACTCCCAAAGGTTTTTCCAAGTAAATTATAACGAAGAACAGGATAGTATCTTGTCATTTAGGATAAGATAAATCAATAAGAGTTAATGATGTTTATTTTTCAGATATTTTTTATCTAAAAAGTTACCTGATGAAAGACTGAAAAAAATGGGAAATTAATATCATTAAATAGCTAATTAAAAATAAAGATTTGGTGAGAAATAATTAACATGAAAAGGCAGAGATATATGAGAAGAAGAGAGATATAAAGAAAGAAATAATTCATTTGCAGATTGAATGACTGAGGTGAAAAGTAAAACTAATGAACAAGAAGAAAATGTCCAAGAGATTGAAGAAGATGAAGTTGAAGAAGTTCCATCATTTCATTCAATTGATATTCTTCAACAACAAGGAATTAATGTTGGAGATATTAATAAATTGAAAAGTGCAGGATGTAATACTATTGAATCTGTTGTTATGCATACTCATAAAGAGTTATGTGCTATTCGTGGATTTTCTGATTCAAAAGTGGATAAAATTATGGAAGCAGTTTCTAAAATATTTCCTACACATTCATTTATAAGTGCAACAACATCATTAGAAAGAAGAGCTAATGTTATTAAAATTACAACAGGTAGTAGTCAATTTGATCAATTACTTGGTGGAGGGATTGAAACAATGAGTGTTACTGAAATGTTTGGAGAGTTTAGAACAGGAAAAACTCAGTTGTGTCATACATTAGCAGTGACAACTCAACTCCCATCACATTTAAAAGGAGGAAATGGAAAAGTAGCATATATTGATACTGAAGGAACATTTAGACCAGAAAGAATAGCACAAATTGCAGAGAGATTTGGAGTTGACCAAACAGCAGTATTAGATAATATATTAATTGCTAGAGCATATACTCATGAACAACAATTTGATTTGTTGATTGAAGTTGCAGCAAGAATGGCAGAAGACCATTTTAGAATGCTTATTATTGATAGTGTAACGTCTCTGTTCAGGGTTGATTTTTCAGGAAGAGGAGAGTTAAGTGAAAGACAACAAAAATTAGGAAAAATGATGAATAAATTAATCAAAATTAGTGAAGAGTTTAATGTTGCAGTTGTAATTACAAACCAAGTAATGAGTGATCCAGGAGGAGGTGCTATGTTTGTTGTTGATCCAAAAAAACCAATTGGTGGGCATGTAATAGCACATGCCAGTACAACACGTCTTTATCTTAGGAAAGGAAAAGGAGAACAACGAATTGTTAAAATATATGACTCTCCAAATTTACCTGAAGCAGAAGCTACTTTTGCAATTGATACAGGTGGAATTATTGATGCTAAAGATTAATCAAGAAAAAAAAATATTTGTAGTTATTAATTGAATAAAATTAAGGTTTGAAAGATAAGAAAGAATCTTTTTTGTTTTATAGAAAAATAAGTAGAATCTTGAAAAGAAAAAAACTTGAAAATAGAAATAATTAATATGAATAAACAAATAAAAGAACCTAAAGAACCATCAACATCTGTCTCTCCTAAATCAAGACAAACAAAAACAAAATCACGTCAAGGAACAAAAAAAGTACAAGAAATTTCATTAAATGTATTAATTCAATCATTACAAACAACTCAACAACCATTAACAGTTTTATCTGAAATCCTTCATTCAATTATTTTAAATCCACCTTCAAATTCAATTTATAATACTTTATTATCATCATTTCATAGACTAACAACACCAATAACAACTCCTCCAAGTAATATTATAATAATGAATACTCAATATATTGTTGCTATTCTTGCTGTTATTTCACTTCATCAACCAACAGTTATAGATTTATTAACACCATTAAATCATTATGCTTTATTATTTCCTCAATTACTTATTCCTACTAAAATTGAAGAATCATCTACATCACTTCTTTCAATGTTAACATCAGAAACACCATCTTCTATTGCAACTTCAATTCATTCTGAATTAAAAACATTGTTTGCTTTACCATCATTACCTTTGGTCATTCCATATCTTACACTTCTTATATTATCACATATGAATGTTATTGTTTCTCTCCCTAAATTACCTCATTGCGATAATGAAAAAGATTTACTTTTATTTTTACCATTATATACAACAGTACTTGCAAGAGGAAGTACACAACCATTACCAGTAGTAGATGATTTAATGACACCAATTACTCTTTGTTTAAATCATCTTCCTTCCACACTACAACCATTAACAGAAATACTAGCTGCAATAATGAACTATTCAAATAGAATCACACAAGATACGTTTTTGACTATTCCAATAATGAATGTTTTAACTAAAATACATCAAAATATGTTTAGTTCTGATGATTGGTTTGATATTAGAGTACTTCTTCTAAGCATTGCTGCAAATGCACTTTATGAATTGAAAAAAACAGCCATTGCATTAGTAAAGAGTAATTTATTAGAAGAGTTTTGTCAAGAATTTGGGCATTTGGGGGATACTAAAGAAGATAAAATAATGAAAGGGTATTTAGCTGTTGTAATTTGTGGATTTGTATTTGTTGATCAAGAATGTGCTAAACGTGTTCAATTAGAATGGGAAGAACTTCTTGGATTGTTAGAAGAGTTTGCTGCATTTCAACAAAATTGTGGAGCAATGGATGAAACGTCTCAAAGAAGATTAATTGATGCAATGGAAGTAATTGAGAAGATTGTTGATACAAAAACTGCATCAACATTTGAAATACCAGTAAAAAGAAAAAGTTCTAGTTTAAAAAGTAAAGGTATTGATTTGCCACAAGAAGATAATGGAAAAGAAGAAATATTAAAAGAGAGTAGAATGTCATTTGATTCACTTTCACTTAATGATATTGATTGTTATTAGATATTGACATCTTTTTATGGTTGGTTTTGTATTGTTTTGAGTTATTATTAAAACCCATTAAAATAATAAAACATAGGAAATTGAAAAAAAAAGAAACAGAATTATATAGAAAAGTATTGATTAATCAGATATTCTTTCCAAGAAGAGAGAGGAATTTCTTTAATAATAAGTTGAAGAAATACTTCTTGAAGATTTTCTAATGATAACCCACTTTCTCCTATTTTATCAATTAATTCATTAAAATATAATTGTTTAATTTGAATAATTTGATTTTGTAATGAATTAATATCATTGTTTAGATTTTGATTGACTTTCTCTAAACTTTCTTTCTCCATTAAATTTCCTTGATAAACTTCTTTTAATTCAGTAATTTGACAATGATAATATGATGCTTTATCAATGAGTTTCTCATAAGTTAATTGAATATCCACATTTTGTGATGATGATAATTCTTTCTGATGATGTTCTTCAATTGTTGAGTTGAAGGTTTGTTGGTTGTGTTGTTTCAATAATAGATTTATTTCATCTTCATTATAAGGAAGAAAAGTCATAATGAAATTAATAAGATCAACTAAAACAAAAAATGAGACATTTCTTGATATATAGAATTACAAAGATTTTTACCTTTAGAACAATTCACTTAAAGTTGATTAAAAGAAGGAAAAATAAACACTTTTAAAATCCCTTCAAAAAGGATATTTTTGTTGTAATACACTCTGATTAATCAAGTTTAAAAGATATAAACTATATTAAAAGATGAATATACTTCTCAATGAAAATTCCTTGTATTAGGTAAATTAAAATAAAGGGATTATGGTTATGAATGGCATTTCTGAATGATTTTTTTAACTGAAGTAGAAATTCATTTTGAACTATTATTAGATGATAGGAATTTCTTAAAATAGAGTCTAAAGCAATAATGTTCTATTTTTAATAAATGATTTTGTGGTTTTAGAATTTGAAAATAATAATTATTGAAAGAAGGAAACCAAAAAAAAAAAAAAAGATAATACATTATTCTTTCTTAAATAAAATGAAAAGAAAATGAAAAAGTTGAACGTAGAATTTGTTATTTTCGAAGGAGTTTTGACTTTTTTGTAAAAACTATTCTATTTACAAGAAAAATTGGACAAATTGGTTGAATCTTCTTGAAATAGAGTATATATTCGGGAAATAACGTAAAGATTAGTAAAAACTATTTCATTTAAATTTATCGCTATGTTTCTTTTCATTTAATATATCTTTTCCTATCAAATATACTCTTACAACGAAAAAATTTAATTATGATTTAATACTAACAACAATCTCAAAATCTCATTAAAAATCTTGTTACTTTATGACTACTCTGTTTGATTCTTCTTGTTTTAAACCAAAACTTATACTTACAAATAGGTCTGTTTTTACTCCAGTCAAAAAAGATCTTTATTGTATTATTTGGGATACTACTGTCTCAAATTCTTCTGACTCTGACGTTACAAAAGAAGTCCCAAGATCTTCTCGTGATTGGAGCGATCTTGCAACTTTATATATTATGCTCAAATATAGAAAATGGCAATTAAAAGATAGAAGAACACAACCATTAAAACAATTTCATATCCAATGTTCTAATGATTTACTGAATGATTTAGGAATTAAAAAAACATCGACCCAATTACGAGATAAAATTAATAATACAAGATCATCATATCATGTTTGTTGTTTTCTTTCTTTTTTAAAGAGGATTTAATAAACAATAAGTCTTTAAGATAGATAAGTGTTCAACGACTTTTTGTTGGATTTTCAAAGGTTTATATCATTTAATGACAAGATAAAAACAAAACTAATTAATTAAAGGCAATTTCTAAACAAATTAAAGAAGGTGTTTTTGATCCAATTTCAACATTTCTTAATAAACGAGTATTAAAAATGATGAAATTTTTATATGACACTAAATCTACAGTTACAGTTGAAAACATTGATGCTCAAATTAATACAATAATTAACCAAAATTCAAAATCCTAAGGAAAGTCATATCAATGAAAAGGAGAGAGAGATATATATATACAACCAATTTGTTTCTTTTGTTTTGTAAATTCTTTAAGTTTAAAATACAGAATTTTAAATAATTGACTTGAAATTCGTTGTCATTCAAAAGTTTTGAAACCGAAGGAATCTTTTTAGACTCATTCCAAATAACACAATTTAAGAATATAAAACACAAAATAAAAACAAGAAAATAAAGAAACAAAAAATAGGAAAAAATATAAAACGTTCCCCTTTTTGAATAGTCAAAGAAGAATATCTTTTATTGAATCAGTTGAAATTAAAGTGTTATGAAGAAGAGTATTTGTCAATCAAAAATTGATTCAAAAAAACAAGAAGTTCATTTAGAAATGGTTTTATTTTCAATATTAAATGAATTAAATTATAATTTAGAATTAGAAAAGTTTTATAAAAAGAGTAAATATGAAACTCAATTAGTTAAAGTTCATGATATTTATATTGAAGAAAAAGGAAGAAGAATTAACACAACATTTAAGAAATATGTTATTGATGGTTGTAAAGAAGGAAATGAAAATTATTATAAAAGAAATTATGATGCATTAACAATGAATTGGATGATTGAAGAATGTTTAAAACATAAAGTACATTTTGAATTTAGAGGAACAAGAAGTGCTAAATATACAGTTGTTATGAAGAAAATTAAATCTATACAATGGAATGGTGTTTTAATAGAATCAAGTTTAATTGATCTTTTAGGAATTCAATTATTGGATTCTTTAAAGAATTTATTAAGTGGAAATAATCGTCAAAGTGAATCTTCACTTATTTTATTACCATCACATTCTTTTTCTTTTTTATCATCTCTTCGTTCTATGGGATTTTTCTTTCAACATCCTACTTGTAATGATTTAAATCATTGTCATTGTACAAAAGTAATAAATAATGAATGTGAACATGGTCTTGAAAATGGTCAATGTGATATTTGTTCTTTTCAATCAAATAACTCCTCTGAATTAACATCAGCTTCATCAGTAGATTCTTCTCTTAGTGTATTTCTTCCTGTTCATTCTTCTTATTATCACATATTATAATTTACTTATTTTTATTAATTCCTTTCTTTCTATTTCTTCTTTTTAACAGCTTAATTATTGACGTTATTTTTCTTTTAGTTTTTAACTTATTATTTTCAAATGTTTGTTCCATTTATTCTTCTATTCTTTTTGTTTTACAAAACGTCGAGTAGAATTTGTACTGTTATGACTTGTGATGAATTTAATCAATTGTCTGATTGTACTTTGATTTCTATTGATAACTCAACTTTTACTATTGATGTTTTATGTTTGAATGACACAAAAAATTTACCTCCAATCAATTTAGGAAATTCATCTACACTTATTATTGAAGATGGCGCATTTCAATATATTTCTTCTATTTCAATTAAAGATGCTTCATTTGTAACAATACAAGGAACATTATATATATCTAATAATCAACTATTACAACTTGGGTCAAATGTAATATTATCAATTAATGGTTCAATTATAGTAAATTCTATACTTTTTAATATGAATAATCTAAACATTATTCTTAATGAAGGTGGACATTTTATCATTTATAATTCATATGTGTCATTTCTTAATACAAAAATTACTTCAATAACTCATGCATTTTTTATCATTCAAGAACATTGTTCTTTAACTTTTTTGGATACTTCTATTTCAATTCTACAAATGAATGTTTTAGGTTCAAGTATACTTGATTTGACAAAGTGTTCTGTAAATTCTATTTCACTAACTCTTTTTAATGATTCATCTTTACAAATTCATCAATCCACTTTTATTACTTCAGAAATTACACTTAAAGATTCTAGTCAAATTATATTGGAAGAATCATCCTTCCAATTAACTTTTCTTCATTTGTTTAATCAATCAATTCTTTCTAGTGATACTTATAGCATTATTTCAAAAACACAACAACTTGTCTTAAGTGGAAAATCAATTTTAACAATAAATAATGGTATTTTATCAGATATTGAATCAGTTATATTATTTGGAGACTCTCAACTGATTGTAAATGATTGTGATATTAATTTAAAAACAATTCAATTGTACGACAAAAGTCAAATTGTTTTCTCTGGAACAACTCAATTGAATAATGATTCTCCTTCTTCTGGTATTCATTTCTTTCTCTTTAATTCTTCTAAAACTCAATTACAAAATAATACCTCTGGATATATTGGGTCTATTCAACAATTTAATATCTCTTTATTTTTTATTTCTGACAATGTTGTGATTTCTTCTCTTTATGATGATCCTTTCACTATTGATATGTATGAAAACTCAATGTTTTGGTTATATGGATTATCTCAAATGTCATTAGACAATCTTACTTTACATAACCATTCAACTATGCATTTTTATGATAATTATTTCATTGAAGTTAAACAAATCAATACGTATGATTATTCAAATATTATATTATTTGACAATGGAATGTTAACACTTCATACATTGGTAGCTACTAAACATTCTACAATTATTTTAAATGGAGAATGTTGGATTATTGCAAACTCTATATTACTGGAAGGTTCAAGTAATTTCTTTCAAAATTTTAAGTCATATGTACTTTCTACTAGTTTTATTAATATGATTGATTCTAGTTCATGGTATCTCCAAGAAGATTCTTTTTTCTCTTGTGAGAGATTTAGTATGACAGACACAACACATCTTCATTTTAATACCTCAAAAAAGATACAAATACAAAGTAGTTTTGATTGTAAAGAAGAATGTTATTCAATTTCACTTAGTGGTTCTTGTATAATTAATATAACAAGAACAATTGAAGAAACTGTTGTATTTGAGAAAACAGAAACTGAAGTATATCTTGGAAATGATATTATTATATTAAATGAATATGAAGAATGTACTAATCTTATATTTGATGAATATAAAGGATTTCAAAAGAATAAAAACCCACATACTGTGCTTTTATCTAATGGTAAAATACTTAGGTATTGTCCTAATAATATGGATATTACAATGAAATGTATTATGAATGGAACTGAGTGGATGAATGAATATAACAAAAATTATCTTACATCAAAGAATTTAAAATATTCATTCACTCAAAAATATTGTCCATGTTCTGGTAATAATTGTTATATTTCTTCTTTAAATGATAAAGTTATTATAAATGGTGGTGATGTTAATGCTAATTTTATAGATAGAAAAGTAAATCTTATTATGAATTCTAATTTCTATCAACAAACAATTCATGGATTTATTGGCAGTGTTACCTTTCCAAATAAAATCACTATATATCCACTTTGTGAAGTAATAGGTAAAAATGGAGTTGTTTCAATAGATGGAGATCTTTTTAAATATCAAGTTGATTGTTCTTCAGATGATAATAACCTTAAATTAACAAGAAAACATGAACTTCCAAGTTCATTATTTAAATGGAATGACCAAACAATTGAAATTAAAAGTGAAATTGGAGTTATTCTATATTATAAAGATAATTTTAATATTCTTAAAAATTACAATATTCAAGGTTCTGTTCCTATAATTATTAAAACATACAATGGAATGATAGATCAAAATACAAATGAATTATGTGACTTTGGTATTTATGAAAATGATCAATTTAATTGTCTTAGAAAGAAAATTATTCAATGTGATTCTGGTTATTATTATGAATCTAATGGATGTAAACAATGTACTATTGATCATTGTAAATATTGCACTTCTTCAGATTGTTTATTATGTAATGATAATTATCAATTAAAAGATAGTAAATGTGTGTTTGTAAATTCTTCTATATGTTTGAAATTTACTAATAATCATTGTTCTTATTGTTCTTTTGGTGGTGTTACAAATGGACAATGTTCTAAATGTGAATGTGAATATTGTGCTGATTGTTATGAAGGAAAATGTTATCGTTGTGAAGATTCATTTGATGGAATTTTAGAGAATAATCAATGTATTAAAAAAGAAGGTACAGAATATAAATCAGCAACTACAATTGTTTCATGTTCAACTACACATTTTCTTAATAAGAATATTTGTGAGAATTGTACTTCTAGTAATTCTAAAAGTGAAATATGTGAAAATAATAGAATATTAAAATGTGGATATGGCTCATTACTGAATGAAAAAGGAAGTTGCGTTTCTGTAATTAATGGGGTAGTAGAAAAAGATGGAATTATTAAATGTGATGATGGATTTTCTTTGGTTCAAGGGGTATGTGTTCACACTCAAGATGAATGTGAGAAAATGATTAATGGAAAGTGTTTAGAATGTAAATATTCTTATGGACAATATCTTTACACAACTCAAACACTAAATTGTAAAAATAAAGTAAATCATTGTCAAGTTCAAAGCAAATTTGGATGTCAAAGATGTGATGATGGATATTTTTTACAAGAAGGGTTATGTATTACTTGTGATGAAAGATGTTTGACATGTACTAATACTTCAACATATTGTCTAAGTTGTAAAGAAGGATATTTTATTGATGATCATCAATGCAGAGATAATATAGAAATGCAAGAAAGTTGTAAATTATATACAGCAACTGGAAAGTGTGTAAAATGTCATGATAAATACTATATTTATGATTTTGGATGTTTTCCATGTAAAGAAGAATGTAATACATGTACAGATGATCAAAGTTGTATTGAATGTAATGATACAATGTATAAGAATCAAAATAATGAATGTAAATTTAGAAATGAAATTCATGGATGTAAAAGTAATATTACTTCTAAAGGATGTGATAGTTGTGAAGATGGATATTATCTTGTTTTTAATGAATGTTTTAAATGTGGTAATCATTGTAAGAAATGCAAGAATATTGAAAATTGTCAAGTATGTGAAAATAATTACATTTTAAACTCTTTGACACTTAGTTGTGTCTCAATGAGTTTTGTAGATCATTGTATCAAAACTGAAAACTCTAAATGCTCTCATTGTTCATTTAGATATAAATTGAATGAAAATAAAGAAAGTTGTATACCTAATGTTGTTTGGTGGATTGTTTTATTAGAAATTATCACAGCAATACTCATACTAATTATAATAGTTAGTATTGTTTGTGTTGTTACTAAAGTATTTATTTACAATGTTTTTCTAAAACAAAAGTCTATTATAATGAATATAAAGAAACTAAAGATTCAAATGAATGTTCATGCAACATCAGACATTATGATATCAACTGAATCAATTCAATTTAAAACTCTTGATAATTTATTAAGTGTTGACACAATAAATTATGCTTCATTTTATATTGGAAATATATCTAACTCTAAAAAAGAAGTTATCATTAATTGTCCTTTCATTAATGATTATAAGTACCAAATGACAATATATCCCGAATGTGTTAATCTAAAACCAAATAAATGTTGTCATGTTAAAGTATCACTTCTTCCTTATTGTACTTGTTTGATTAATGATACAATCTCATTGTATGAAGTAGATAGTCTAAATAAAAAGAGATTAATCTATACATTACCAATTAAAGCTCAAACAGAACTTTCACCAAAACTTGATATTGCTGATGTCATTGAACAAAAAATTATTGGAGAAGGGAGATTTGGAGTTATTAGCAAAGGAAGTTATAAAGGAATTCCTGTTGCAATAAAAAGATTAAAAGAATTTTCATTTAATACAGAAAAATCACTTAACACAGACTTTACAAAAGAAGTTGAAATGTTATATAAAATAAGATGTGATTATATTGTTCATTTTTATGGGGCATTATGTTTTGATTTCAATAAAAGTATTATCATGGAATATGCACCATTTGGTTCTTTAAGAAATTTGATTATTAAGAAAAATCTTAATACACAAATTAATAAACAATCAAGAATCAAATTTATTATAGACGCTGCTAAAGGCATTCAATATCTTCATAATAATGGTATTCTTCATCGTGACATTAAACCAGAAAATATCCTTATTATGTCTCTTGATACAAATAATGTATCAGTATGTGCTAAATTAACTGACTTTGGAAGTGCAAGAAATATAAATATGCTCCAAACAAATATGACTTTTACCACAGGAGTTGGTAGTCCAGCATTTATGGCACCAGAAATATTATTACTTCAAAAATATAAAAAACCAGCTGATATTTATGCTTTTGCAATAACAATGTACGAGACTATGAAATGGGGAGGAGCTTACGATAATTGGGATGGATTGTTTGAATATCCATGGCAAATAGCTGAATTTGTTGTGTCAGGAAAAAGACTTGAGAAACCTGAAGGTATGGAAGATAACATCTTTTTAATTATTTCTAAGTGTTGGAATAATAACCCTCAACAACGATTAGATATTACAACATTGATCGAATTATTAACAAATGTATGAATAATATGTACTTATTTATTATTATTTTATACTTTTTTTTTAAAAAAATGACGCTTATAAAAATATAATTTTTGTGTATGAAGAAAAAAGTAACTCAAAAACAGTTTCAAGAGTAATTGAATGAATCGGCACAAACATAGTGTTAAGGACTTTCGCAAATATAAAGATAAAGTCAATTATCTAATATCATTACAATCCATCTATCTTGCATTACTTAATAAATATGCAACAATAGAACTAAAACGAAGGTCAGTTAAATCAACAGTAACATTACCATTTCTTTGTGTTTCAAAAATAACTTTTTCACAATTAGATACTATTTTAGTTTGGAAATTGATTGAAGACAAAATACATCATATATTTGTTTTGGAAACAAACAATAACATTGAAAAAGCAATAGCAGCATCTCATGTTAAGAAAAATAGATTGAATGTGTCGATTCAACTCCTTGAAGACTTCTTATTTGAAAAAGGTTATCGTTATACGTATTCATTATTTTATAGAAAGGATGGAAGTATTTCAGGTGAAGTTAGTATAGGTATTTATTGTAATAATATACTACAATATGATATAAATGCAATTAAAACAATAGGCTCTTCAATTAATAATTATTTGACTAGTCAATTAAAAAATAATCCAACGGTAGACATTACTAAAGGTGATCCTATCATATGTGATTTGTTAAATAAATAAAGTGCGACTTAAATATTGTTTTACTTGTATGATTTTTAACAATACTTAATTGTAATATTTTACTATGTTTCACTCCTCTTCAAAAAAAGTTCAATTCAATAAATTTTCAAAATCTAAAAATTTTGTAAAAACAAAAAAAAAACAAGAAGTTATTTCTTCTTCATTCAATTACTATTCATTACATTTTTTTTTCAAACTATCAAATGATAATTATTCTAATAACTCATTACTCTATGTTATTTTTAGTTCCAAAGAAAATATGTAATTTATCCAATTAAAATGTTTTATAACTTAATTGTATGTTTATTAACTTTTTATTTTATTTTTTTTAACAACACGTAATCAACAAAAACAATTACTTTTCATCTGCTTTTTCAATTATTATCATAAACTATTGTGGTTATGAAATAACAAAATAGTAATACATTTTTGTTTCAAGTATGTTTTTGTTCAATCATCAAAAACACATATTTCCTTATTGTTATATCCATTCATCATATTTAACTAAATACTACTTTCTTTCATTATTGAGTAAACTAAAATCAGTACATCAGCTATTGACGTGTTGGGTATTGGTTGAATATAATTTCTCATTTGAAATACAACATTTTTATTTTACCAACTTGCACTTTTTGTTGAAGGAATAAGAAATACTCACTGACTATATGTGTTTATTAGTATAGGAAATATAATCAAAAACAATACCTTGAAACAAATTTATTTCTTACTCAAAAATGAATCTCTGTTATTTCATACGTAAATGGAAACAACGCTCAACACCAACCAATACCTTCCTTTAAGTGACCAAACAGATGATAAATGGGAAATGCTCGAAGACATGATACCAATTGGTGAGTTAACTAATAAAGAAAACCTATTACCACAACAGACTAATGAAACAGAAGAAGGGTTACTCAAAAATGAATAATTCATGGTGTCTTATTGTTATAGTTTATGATACTCATTACAATTATATTTTATAATTAAAATCATTTAATTTAATACAACAACTAATGACTTGAACAATACAATATGAATCACACATTAGTAAATGTTATTAATGTATACTCATTAATGTATAAAAAGAAGTAACTTTTATTGTATTGACTTATAACTTAAAACCGTCATAATTGTTCAAATGAAATTTTACATAATAACATAATTGTTAAAACATGACCTTGACTATAGTGTTTTGATGGTGTTGATCTAAAAAATTCATTAAAATAATGTGTTATACTTACTATATTCTTTTCTAACAGTTTGTGTAGTTTAAAGTTATACTTCCAATAATACACAATAAGACATTATTAAATGAATCAAACTATTAAATGTTATATTTCTAATTAGAGATTTGACTAAACAAATCACTTTCTAATGATTAGTTTTTGGACTAAAGAAATACCTTAAATTGATGAATATTAAATGCTCACAAAATAATATAATTTCTCATATTCAAATTGTTTTTACTAATCAATGCGATAATATTCTCAAAATTACTTCAATAATACTTATTAAAATAATTAACAATAAAACAACTGCTGATTTAAATTGAAATTAAGCAACCGCCAGAGAAAAGAAAAAAACAATAATAAATATTAAAAAAATGTCATATATTACATAAATAGAATAATACAAAGAATAAAAATAATAAAAACTAAAAAAGTTTTGAGGTATGAAAAAAAAACAAAAAAGAAAAAAACATTGAGGATTAAAATAGCAGAACTAAAAATTTTTTAAAACATATTTCATGGGAGAAGAAGCTGCATATAAAGAATGGGAAAAAGTAAATGGAGTAAAATACATTGAAGAAGATAAGTTATTAGAATGGAATGATTCTGAACGAGAACAAATTTTTAAAGATAGACCATGGAAGAAAGATCCATATTATTTCAAAAAATGTTATGTTAGTTCAGTGGCATTATTAAAAATGGTAATGCACGCAAAACAAGGAGAGCCATTAGAGATTATGGGTATTCTTATTGGACAAACAAAAGGGGATTCATTTGTGATTACTGATGTAGTTAGTCTTCCAGTTGAAGGAACTGAAACAAGAGTTAATGCATCTGCTGATTGTGATGCTTATATGTTACAATATGGAGAGTACAAAAATAGTACTGGATTTAAAGAACCTTTTTGTGGATGGTATCACTCACATCCAAGTTATAAATGTTGGTTATCTGGTATTGATGTTGCTACAGAAAAATTACACCAAAGCATTAACGATCCATGGATTGCTATAGTTGTAGATCCTGTCACAACATCTACAAATGGTAAAATAGAAATTGGTGCATTTAGAACATTCCCAGAAGGATTTAAACCACAACAAAAAGCTGAAATGAAAAAAGTACTTCCAAGTGAGAAAATAGCAGATTTTGGGTCGTATTATGATTCATATTATTCTATTAAAGTTGAATTATTTAAAACAAAATTAGATGACCAAGTACTTCGTTTATTATGGCATGAATATTGGATTAACACTCTTGCTGCAACAGCTATTATTTCTTCACGAGATGTTATGGATGAAAAAATTATTGACTTATATGATAAATTTACTGCGGAATTAAAAAATAATAAAAGTAATGTTGTAGATGCTTGTGGTGCTATTTTAGATGATGCAAAAGAAATCCAAATGATTTATGAACGAGGTATTAAATCTTTAGATTTAAAGAATATTTTATTTAATCAGAAAGTTACTGGAAAATAATTAAATTCATTTGACTTAATTTTTTGTTTTTTAATTTGTAATTATTTAGAAGGTTGACTAATAATAAAACATTAAATATCATTAAAAAAACGCATTTTTTCTTTACTCTTATAACTTGTTCTTTTTAGCAACAAATTCTAAATAAGCTAATTTCTTAAAATCTTTTTGAATTTTAGGTAATGGATTAGAAAGTCTTTCAAGATATGTTTTGCAAGCAGAAGAATGATATAATTCTCCACTTGCTGTAATAGCCTTTTGAATGTCTGCTTTAATAAGAGGTACTTTCTCATTAACTTGGTCAACAATACTATTATCTTTCATTTCTTCATCGATAGTCTTAATTGTAGTAACAGTTTCATTAAGTAAATTTCTTACTACGTCTAATTCTTCATCTTCAAATAATTTATTTGGAAGCATTTTTTTAAGGTTCTTTGCAATAATAGTATATCTCTTTTTCATTTCAACTTTCATATATCTAATTTGTTTTACTACATTTTGAGCTTCAGAAAGAGCAGATTTTTGAAGTTTTTCAATTAAGTTGTTATATAATGAAGTAAATGCTTGAATATCTAATGGACATTTTCCTTCAGTAGAATAAACAGTAATGGCGTTGTTCCATTGAACCAATTGTTCATTAATCATTTTTTGATAGATTTCAATCATAGTTTTTGAAAAGTCAGCACTTTTCTTATACTTTTCAATTGTTGGATTATAACTATCTCCTGAAGTTAAAGCGATTCTTAAAGTAACATTAAATCGATTATCATCTCTATTAATTGGAATTTCTTTTTTCATATGAGGAACAAGATAAGTATATACTTGAATCCATCTTTCCATGTGTAATTTTCTAATAATTTGAGACTGTTCTATTTCTGGAATTCCAGCTAATAAACTTCGTGCTTCAGTTAATACCTTTTCTTTTTCTTTATGGTTCATAACAATTACTTCTTTTAATTTATTAATTATATTAGTTAATTGAGGATTGACTGCATTTAATTGGTTTGTTTCTTTAATTTTTGCATCAAGAGCAGTTTGTAATTGTCGTTCATCTTCTTCAAGTTGTAATACTTTTTGTCTCATTTCTCCAACTTGAATTTCTATTGCGGATATCACGTGTGGGAATGTGATCACAGCTTCTGAATAAACTAAAAACAATGCAAAAACGAAAATTAAGTATTTCATTTTTTCTTTTAAAATTATGATTTTTCAATTTTTTATTTTTTAGTTCTTTTTATTTTTTTTAAAATGTTTATAACTATTTTTACTTTTTTTCAATAACTTGTTTTATTATTTTAAAAATGAAAAAACAAAAAATAACCAGGAAAAGAACTTGAAAACTATGAAAATTCTAAGGAAATAAGAAAAATCTTTTGTTTAAATCAAAAAAGGGCAACTTTTTGAAACGAAAGGATAAGGTAAAAATACTATTTAAAGGTGGAACTAGAAAAAAGTAATCAGAAAACTAATGTTTGCTTTGATTGCCCTTATTGTTATTGTTAATGCCGACTATAGTGGTTGTGGATGTTGTGAAGTAAATGGAAAATGTGATGTATTCCAAAATGAATGGAGTTGGTTAGATGAATGTATTAAACATGTTCCACAAGAAGCAATGCCAACAGATCCAAATTGGTTCAAGATTGTTAGACTTCCTAATGCTACTTATGATAAATGTACAGCACCAACTGGATTTTCTCCATCTGATACAGCTCCTGTTTATACTTATGATAATCCATGCACATGTTTTGAAGATTTTGCTGATCGTATTATGAATTCATTTAGTTGTGGAACTGAATTTCTTAAATCACTTGATGAAGTTTGTAACACATTAGGATGTAAATATTGTAACTTTATTACTCCAAAATGTGGTGATACTCAATTAAGAAGATGTGATTTAGTATATCAACAAGAAATTGCTTTAAATAAATATCCTACTTCTGATGATATTTGTCGTGCACTTGCAAAGAAAGTTGAGTGTTATGATAGTAACCATTGTGTTTATGCGGATATTCCTCAAATGCAACAAACTGTTAAACAATGTAGAAATTCTACTTGTCCTGCATGTTACCAAATTTGTAAGAATGGTGCTATTTCTACTTTTGCTCTTTTTGCTCTCGTATTGCTTGCTTTTGTCTTCTAAAATAATTCATTTTCGATCGGAATATTCTTTTTGTACCACTGTTGTTATTTGTTTCTGTTTTGAATAAATTTAAATAATAAAGTTGAAATTTTTTATTATTCTTCTAATCTTATTTTATGATTATTATTCCTGGTATTTATTGTCTTATACTTATACATTTTTTTTTTAGAAATTTTTGTATTTAAAATTGTATGTTATATTCAATTTATTTATTTGTTTTTATATTTGAAACTCTTAACCCTATTAATGGGATTATCTTTATTACTACAATTCAATAAATCCAATTTATGTCATCATTATTCTAACAAATTATTTTAGACAATGAATTTTATGTTTTTTCTTCTGTAGAAATTAGGTATGTTTTGTTATTATTTATTCAAATATAAGTTGGTATTACTAATGCCTCTTTATAACATTCTAATAGGATAGGAATATGTTATCAAAATAGGAATTTCATAAAAAATTTCATTTTGTTTATTCCTTTTTTTTTAAAGATTTATATTATTGAATTATTAAAAAATTTTAGTTATATTAAAATTATAGTTAAAATAAAGAAGTGTGATAAGTTTAATGTATTAAATAATAAAACATCTTTTCGTTTAAATAGTTTTATTAATAAATTTTTTTATATCATTAACATTAATTTCTCTAATTTTTTATGTTAGTTATTAATTTTGTTGATAAACTTTTGAAAATGGTTTTTCAGTTAGTGAGAAAGAATGAATAATTTTTATTTTTCTCTTCTAAACCATTTGTAAAAACTAAAAACTGTTAATTATAATAGAGAAAATAATTATTTTTTTTTAAATTAGATAAATCAGTTTATTTAGACTAGATGATGTGATTTTTGTAGATAACTTTGAACTTTTATTTTTAAGTTGTTAATAAAAATGATATAGCTTTAGAGATTTGCTAAGATTTGTTTAAATGATATTAAATTAAGGATTTAGTTTTTATAGAGTTAATTCAAAATATTGAAAAAAGAATTTTAAAATAATGATAATTGTTTAAATATTTCAATGATCCATTAAATAAATAATACTTTCATAAATAAAAAGAAAATACTAAATAACAATAATGAAAAACAAAAAAAGTAGAATTAGAATTGAAAGAAATAATCAAAAAAAAGAGAAACTAAAAAGGAAAAGAAGCAAGTAAAAAGAAGATGCCTCCATTAGAAGATATATTTATCCAAACAATCATTAGTTATATTAATCAATTACAAACAGTAAAAAAGATACTTCAAGTTAGTAAAAGAATACAAAGAATTATTAAAACAATGAAAAGTAATCCATATTTTATATGTTCAGCAGAAGAAAAAGGAGTTAGGGCATTTCATATTCAAAATATACTTAACATTTTTTCTGGTATAGGAACACTTCAAATAACTCCTGAAGATCTTATTCTTGATTTTAATCAATGGGAAATTAATACCATTAATATATCAATTACATCTGGTGAAATTATTTCTTCTATTCCATTTAAAAAACTTATATCATATGTAGGAACTACAGATGAATTTCTTAAACAAACTAATAAACAAACAAAATTTCCATTAGAAAGACTTTATATTATTCAACCAGAGAATATTGATGTAAATGCTTTAAATTGTTTGATTTTATTTCCATGTCTTAAATTTGTTGAATTTTGTTTAATTGAAGAAAAGCAAAATTCAATATTTTTTACAAATGAATTAATCTATTCTTTATTAAAAAAGAATATTAAAGTTATTATTAATCATCCTGAAATGAATGAAAATTCAATTCACATTCGTTCATTATTACCAAATAATATTTATAATATATATTCTAATGTATTTCCATTTGGTTCTTTTAATAATGAACTTATTGTAATTTCTCCACAACAAACTGATTTATTTCATATTTATAATCCAATAACAAATGTTTTTAATAATAAATTATATAAAAAATTATATTATCCATATTTATATGAAGGTGAATATAATATATTCTTATCTCAATTAGATTCTTTACAGTTAATAGAATTAAAAAAATCAAATAATACTTCTCTTTTATTTCCTTCTAGTTTAAAAGAATTACATATTTATTTTACAAATACCAAAAATTATATATATGAAAATGAATCAGAATTATCGTTATTAACAACACTTAAAATTAAAGAATATAATAAAAAAACTTTAATTCCTTTAAATATTCAAAAATTAGTTATTGACAAATTAACATCAAAATTTCAAGTAACTCTTCCTCAACTCACTAAATTATCTATTCATAAAACAAATTTTAAAAAATTAATTCTTAATTCTACAATTAAATATTTAAAACTTGACTATTATTATAATAATATGTCTCTCCCTCATTCAGTTAAAACACTTCAATTATATTCTTGTGATGAACTTCTTTCTACTAAAAAAATTGAAAAATTAATACTTCTTAATACTGATAACACAAATATGTCTCTTCTTCCTCTTTGTTTAAAAAATATTTCTTTATATAATGTTAAAAAAATTAATTTAACTCGACTGGAAAGTCTTGAAGAAGTTTATTTAAATTTAAATTCATTTAATGGGTTCTTTGATTTTAAAAATATTAAACTTCCTCCAAATATTAAAAAATTAATATTAGAATTTACTGGTAAAATAGGAGATGCTGATCCACAAAATATTATAGATAAAGCTAAATTATATTTTTCTCTTATACCTAATGTACAAATGCTTGGAGAATTCTTTGAATAAAAAAAGAAAGAAAAAAAAATTTCAATTAATTCATTAAATCAAATCTGAATCAAAATATGATACTGTTTGAATTGAATCAATTCGTTGTTTAGTTTGTGGATCACAGTTTATTTTAATTTCATGAAGTAAAGATGAAGAAAAATTTATAAGACTTTTTTGAGTAGAAATAGATTCTATATATTCTATTAATGATAAACAACTACAAATTGATTGTTTCATTAAATGAATAAAAGGTGATATTATATAACTATCTTTTATTTGTACTTGGTAACGATTTAGTTTAATTGATTCTTTATTTTCTATAGTATTAAGAAGAAGAGCTTTTGACATTTCTATTGGAAGAGCAAAGAAAGGATCAACATAATTAAAAATTGTTTTATTTCCACCAAAAGTTTGACTCATAATATAATTAAATGCAGAATAAAAATCAGTTGAGAAGAATGGAACTAATGATGACATTTCATCAGGATCAGTAATACCTGAAATCATTAGATGAATAATATAAATTCTAATAAGATCTTCTTTTGATACATTTGAATTAATAATAAATCCTCTTATTAATTGAATCACTGTACAAATAAAACCATGTTGATCATCATCATTTTTTCTTTCAGGAATATCAATATTATAATACCATTTTAATGTGTCAATAATAAAATTAGGTCCTACAATTGAATTCAACATTTGTACTAATGCAATATCACTTTGTACAAATTCATAATTAATTGGAGTAACATATAAATTATAGTTTGATACAAAATTTTCACCAGTTTGTAACCATTTACCATTTTCATATTGGTGTCTAAAAACTAAATTCATTAATCCATATTCAACAAGTATTTCACTATCTTCTTTTGAAATATCAAGAGTTAAATCATTTTTCATTAATACTGAAAGAATTAATGTATAAAAATATAATAAAGGGGATAGAGTTGATATTGGTTGATTTATTCCAATAATTCTGTTATGAATTATACTTTTTCCAAAATGAATTTGTTTAGAATTTGTCATATAATTTTTTAAATGATTCATTACAAATAAATGAATATCATTAAATATTTCATAAATATATCCAATATCAATATTATCAACAAAGTAATAAGCTGTAATTTTTAATGGAAATAATAATGGTTCAATTATACATAATGTAATTTTTTCAACATACTGTTTTTTAAGTGAAGGTTCTACATTTGATAATTCTTGAAGACATTGAAGATATTGAATTAATGTTTCTTTATTCATTATTTTATTAGAATTACCAAATACATAATTAATAATTCTTAATGATTCACAAATATTATTTTGTAATATTTCATTTTCTGTTTGATTTTCTTTAAATAAATGAATGTATTGTTGAAGAGTTTGTAAATAAACTATAAAACTACTGTCTTGAATAAATAAAGAACTTAATTCTTTTTGAAGGAATAATTGAGAATAAAGGTCATTTAAAATATATCCATTTTCATATTCTTCATCAAATGATAATTTAATAAAGAAATTAAATAATAATGAAGTATTGTAATGAATCATTTTTGGGTGAGTTTGAAATGATGTAATAAAATGTTCTAATTCTTCTGATAATTGTTTTTCACATCCAACAAATAAAGCTTCACCAATAGTTAAATTTTGATAAGAAAATCCATTAATTTTAATTGAAAAAGAAGTTGGTTTATTCATAAGTTGTCCAAATATATTAAATAATAAATATATTTCAGAAAGTTCATTTAACATTTTTCCAATAATATTTATTCCACTTTGATTATGCTTACATTCACAATGACATTCTTCATCACATGATGAACAACATTCTTCTTTTTGATGTTTTTGAGTAGTACTATTAAACAAATATTTAATAATAGTTATTAGTACTGTCTCTACCTTTAATGGAATATCTTTATAACTATCGGGTAATAATTGTGTTGCATCTCCTTCAAATTTTTTTCCATGATTTTTACAAAACCCATTTACTTTCCATGCTAATTCATTTCCACAGTCACATGTAAATGAATCAATTGTTTTTTGCATTTCATAATCATGTCCTTCATGGTTTCCATTCTTAAAACATTCTTCACAAATACATGAATATTCATTCTTTTCACATGTCTTACATCTATAGATAATGCTTGGTGTCCCAAAATTTGATTTTTTCCTACAAATAGATGAAAATAATAATGGCTTAATATCTTTTTCTACTTCTTCAAATGGTTTATCAAAAATAGAAGAAAACACAGGATTTTCTCTTGAACAACATTCTGGTTCTTCTTCATTTAGAAAGTCATTAACAATGTTAGCAATTAATTCCATCGTTTGTTTAAAGAAATAAGATTTAGTTTATACTATTTTTATAATTCATTTTTATTATAAGTATAATTATATTAGATAACATTTTTTATTAATATTTATGTTATTTGGTTAAAATAAGAAATAACAAAATATATTATAATAATAAAATAATAAAATAATTTAATAATTTATATAGTAATAAATTGTTTTAAAACACAGAAAAAAATAAAAAAAAATTGTTTGAATAAAAAAAAAAACCTAAGAAAAGAATAAATAAAAAAATTATTATAATGAAACTATAATGAAAGTTAAAAAATTAAAAAGAAAAACTGAATAAGTTGAAACAACCCTAAGACAATGTCTGCTGGTCTTGCCTTTGAACTTAAATCTACTCTTGAAGGACATAATGGAGCCGTTACTTCTATAGCAGTTGCAGCTACTAAACCAGACGTTCTTGTCTCTGGATCACGTGATAAGACTCTTATGGTATGGAAAGTAGACACTAACTCAGAAGCTCAAGCAGAAACTATTCTTCCAACTAAATCACTTCATGGACACAGTCATTTCATTAGTGATCTTGTTCTTTCAAACGATGGACAATTTGCTATTTCATCATCATGGGATCATACTTTAAGACTTTGGGACCTTACTAAAATGGAATCAGTTAGAAGATTTGTTGGACATGAAGGAGATGTTATGTCAGTTGCTTTTTCTGCTGATAATACTAAAATCATTTCAGGTGGACGTGATAAAACTATTAAATTATGGAATACTGTTGGTAAATGTGTTGCATCTGTTAAAACTGATTCACACTCTGAATGGGTTTCATGTGTTAGATTTGTTCCAAATGCTAAAGGAAACAAATTTGTCTCTGCTGGTTGGGACAATCAAGTTAAGACTTGGACTCTTGATCAATCATGCAAATTAGAGTCTACAATTACTCATCATACTGGATTTATTAATACCGTTGCTTTCTCACCAGACGGATCAATTATGGCTACTGCTGGTAAAGATGGTAATATTGCTATGTGGACACTCAACAACGGTACTGGACTTTATGAATTCCTTTATGATGTTCCAGTTAACTGCCAAGTCTATCAAATTGTTTTTGCTGAAAATCCAGAACAATACACTCTTCTTGCTGCTACTGAACTTGGAGTTGTTGCTATTAAGGATAAAGAAATTAAGGCATTTACCAAGACTTCAGCTTGTATGTCAATTTGCCTCTCTGCTACTAAGGACGTTATTTTCACTGGACACGTTGATAAGAAGATTAGAATGTGGAAAGTTGGTGTTGCTAGTACCATTAAAGCTACCAATTAAATTTTTTACCAAAAACTTAATCTAAATTGGGGTCGTTTGCTTCTTTTGTTAAATTTTTTTGTTTCTTTGAAATTATTTGTTGTAATAATATTTGAATAATATGACATTAAGATATTATGTTATTTTTTATTTGTTTTTTACATCTGAAAGTTCGTTTGTATATTTCTTAATTGTTTATAGTTCTATTTCTTGATAACCCATTCCTTTATTCAATTTAATATAAAAATATTTATTTGAATATTATTTCATGCAAATGTTTGTTCAAGGTTTCAAAAATAAATCATATAGTTTTAACTTGTAAAAACAAGTTAGAGGACAACTCTCAATCTTAATTTGTAACTAGAAGGAAGAAGGTTCTATTGATAGAATAACCAATGTAAAAATAGAATACATTTTTAAAAGTATATCTTTTTATTGGTTTTTTGATGACGTTTTTCTCCACTTCTCTTAAAAATTAACAAAATGATTTGAAATGGCATAAATATAAACAACCAACTAACTTGTTTTGAGTTGAATAGTTATTTCTGAAATTTGATGAATAAAGGTAAAATTTTATCAAGTCAAATTTGAGAAGAATAGAATAATGGTATCAGAATATAAAATAGAACTAAAAGTATTTCTATGAGATCTTCAACTACAAAAAGATTAAGACATGAGTGTGAAAGTTTCTGATTCTGAAAGACTTGCAAAGAAATATATAGAAACAAGAAATTATCTTGTTCATCAACAAGCTGTTTTAATAGGTTTATTAAATAAATATTATGATATTAATTTAAAAAAATCAAGAAAGGTTTCTGGAAAAGCAGAAGGATTAATAAGAATTCTTTCAATAGAAGAACATGGTGATATTATTGATACAAGAGAACTTGTTGAAAGTTTTTGTAGAAGAAAAATGGAAGCAGATATAATGAATGGGATAAGTTATAAAACTGCTTATAGAAGATTCACAAATAATAAAATATCTGAAGCACATCACTTCTTAATGGATACACTCCAATTACAAGGATATGAATATGAAAGTTTTTATTCTTCTGGGAAGAATAATAGCAATCGAACTGAAACATTCACAAAAATATTTTGTGATAATGAACTTTTATTTGATAAAGACCAAATTGAGGCATGTGGTAATGAAATTAACTTATGGCTCAATAACCAATTAAAATCTTATAAATCTTTTAAGTTACAAAGGGATGATAAATGTTTACAATGTATTCTTTCATTATTTTAAACTGTAAACTACAACAGATTATTGTGCAATAAATTGAGCAATCTTTATTATTTTTAGTTTTCTATTTTTAAAATCAAATAACAATAATAATAATAATAATGATATATAAAACACAATAACAAGAAATTAAAAAAAAAAATTTTCAGAAAAACTCAAAAAGAAACAAAAAAAGAATGAATAATTTTTTAGTTATTATGACGTTGAAATAAATATAGAAAAAATAATAATAAAATATAATAAAACAAAGTTTTAATTAAAAATAGTTAAAGTAGAAAATTCTTTCTCTGAGAATATTAATAAAAATTAATGAATGAGAAAAAGATGTAGTATTAGAAATTTCATTTTACACTGGTATTTGAAGAACTTTCAAAGAACTAATTTCATTCATGTTTAATTTCCTTTTACTTGTAGTTGCTGCATCAGCTATTGACTTTAAGAGTTGGGCTGCTAAGAACAATAAACACTTCACTGCTGTTGAAGCACTCAGAAGAAGAGCTATCTTCAATATGAATGCTAAATTTGTTGCTAAATTCAATAAAGAACATTCATTTGAATTAACTGTTGAAGGACCATTTGCTGCTATGACAAATCAAGAATATAATAACTTATTAAAAACACATGAAACTGAAGCAGCTGCTGACTCAGTTTATGATAATACTATTATTACTGCTTCTTCCAAAGATTGGAGAGCTGAAGGTAAAGTTACTCCAGTTAGAGACCAAGGAAATTGTGGATCATGCTATTCATTCTCATCACTTGCTGTTCTTGAATCAAGATTATTAATTGCTGGAAGCAAATACAACCAAAACAACCTTGATCTTTCTGAACAACAAATTGTTGATTGTAGTGCTGCTAATAATGGATGTAATGGAGGATCTCTTTCTGCTACTTATCTTTATGTTAAAAATAAAGGTGTTACTGATGAAGCCTCATATCCATACACTGCTACTAAGGGAACTTGTAAAGCTTTCACTCCAAAAGTTCAAACTACTGGTTTAACTCATGTTACTCCAACTGAAGAAGCTTTAACTGCTGCTCTTGCAGAAGGACCAGTTGCTGTTTGTATTGATGCTGGTAAAGCTTCATTCCAATTATATAAAAATGGAGTTTATGATGAACCAAAATGCAGCAAAACTGTTAACCATGGTGTTGCCGCTGTAGGATATGGATCTCAAGATGGTCAAGACTATTACATTGTTAAGAACTCATGGGGAACTTCATGGGGAGATAAAGGTTATATTTTAATGTCAAGAAATAAGAACAATCAATGTGCTATTGCTTCAGTTGCTTATTTCCCAACTGGTGCTCATGATGCTAATTAAGAATAATCTATTCATCCTTTTTATTTTGTCAATTATCCTTTTTATTTTTTTTAGAGTAATAATATTTTTCATATTTTAATTATTGTTATAAATAAAGAAATGAATATTGGTAAAAAAATGGAAGAAGTATTATCATTTGAATAAAATTTATAATTATTTTTTATTATAATAAATATAATTAATATGTGTCTTGTCATTCATTCCTCTAATTTATACTCTCTATATTTATTAATTCAACTCCACTTTTAATATGAAGAAAAAGTATTATAGTAATTTAATATTCAAACAAAAGAAAATTAAATGAGTAGTAAAAATAAAGTTGTATAAAACTTATAAAAAAGTTAAGTTACTTTTTTTAATTGATTTGTTCTTTATTGTCATCACGCCAAGTCTTAAAAAAGTATGGCATAACTTTTTTTTTTATTTAAGTCTTTATTTAAACTTAATTCATATAATATTCTAACATAGGAAAATAGTATTTTTAAATTGTGATTTGTTTTTAAATTTTTCATTGATACATAAAATTGAATAAATTGTGTTAAATTAATTGAATCGATATGGCTATAATCCAAAAACAACAACTATCAGATTCATATTTTATAATTTTGGATATTTTTCAAATAAGCTAAGTTATATTATCAAAAAAAAAAAAATATTAACAATAAGACTGTTTAAATAGGTATTCATTGTTTAGAATAGAAACAACCTTTTTTGAAAGTTTGTTATTTTCATTTTAAATCATGACTGAAAACTGACATTAAGTTATAAGTATAGTATATCTTCAAGTTTCAATAGCATTTTTCCACTAGTCACAAATTCAGCAATTTTCCATGGATATTTAAATCGAGATCCTTCATCTTTATCATATGGATTTTTCCAACTCCATGTTTGATACATTGTTATTGCTAATGAATATATGTCTGATGGCATTTTGTAATGTTCTTTATTTAATATTTCTGGTGCCATGTATTTTGGTGAACCAATTCCTTTTGTGAATGTCATATTTGTCATCATTAAATTAACATTTCTTGCACTTCCAAAATCAGTTAATTTACAATTGACTTGTTCATTTTCTTCAAGTGAAATAACTAAAATATTATCAGTATAGCAATCCTTTTTTTTTCATAATATATTTATTTCATCTCATTAAATATATTTGTTCATAGACTTTACAAATAATAGAGGAATTTACTAAAGAACAGAAAGTATAAATGGGATGGTTATGTCATCAATCATTTTCCTTTTAGTAGTTTCTTTTCAATGATACATTTCATTGCAATAATGTTTGTGATAATATAGATATTTAGTAGTTGAAGTTATTCTTAAAGAGACTTAGTACTTTGTTTCATATATTCTATATGAAGGTTCAATGATTTGTAGATTCATTGAGTTAATTTATATTTCTTAAATCAGTCACAACTAATTTCATTAACGGAAGAGACTTGTTGATAACTATTTTGATAATGAAAATACACAAAGACGAGAAATTTCTTTATTTTTTTTGAAATAAATAACTCTGTTTCCACATCTCTTGTATTGAACATATATTATAATGAAATGATTTACATAAAATAATATATTACTATGTGAAATATTTGGAGTTTTGATATTAGATGTAACTGTGATATGTTTAAATCAAAAAGTCTATAATTTTGATAGTTAGTCTTGATACTGTAACAAAAATAAATAAGGTAACTTGAATTTAATAGTCTCATTATATAAACTTTAAGAATAGAAATAAGTATTGAAGAATGAAACAAAAAAATAGAATTAGTTTCAACAGTGCTAGATTCCTAGTTTATTAAATCATTAAAATCAATTTCAGGTTGTTTAATATGTAAGACAAGAAAATAATAATTATATTTACAATCAGGTTAATCTAAGATTGATGTTGTTGATATAACACTTTGATTTAGTACAAGAGAAAAGTGACAATTATTATAATTTTCATCTATATTATTTCTTTTATAGCAATGAATCTCTTACAATAAATAATATCAAAAGCAATTATTATTTTATAGTAAGTTAATGTTTGTGCTTTTATTATTGAATCTTTGTTTTTACTCTTTTCTGTAGAAAACAAATATTTATTTTATTTTCATCATTTACATTACCATTACTTTTTTGTTTTAAGAAGTATTTTTGTTCATAGTGAGTTATTGAACAATACATTATATTTTCAAAACAAAAGAAGTGGAGGTTTTTTCTAGTTCACATCATTATAGATATAGTTTGAACAACGAATATTAAGAAAACAATAACCAATATTCAATATAAAATGAAAGATAAGACATTATTATTAGAATCAAACAATTCTTAATTTTTAACGAGATAAGAAACAATGAAATATAATTACTGAATGAAAAATCAATGAAAAAACAATATAAAATTCTTTTTTAATTTTTCTAAAAAACCTAAAATCAAAAACTCTCAAAACATGAACTTTTCAAATCTATTGAAAACTTTCAGAAAAGATTGATCTAACGAAACGTTACTAGTTTCTGAAAAAAAATGTCTTATTGAGAACCAACAATTTCATCATCGACATCATCACCAACACCATCGAAATCATCATCTTCATCATATTGGAATCCATTAGAGTTATCTTCTGAGTCTTCAGGAGTAGAATCATGTTTAACAAAGAACTCTGATGTTTCATTATCTCTTGTATTAATGATGTCATTGACGTAATGAACAAAGTCATTATTTCCTAATTTGATAAGTAATAAAATAATTTAACCACATAAAGAAAACAAACCCATAACCAATTCATAAACAGGTGATGTTTCATCTTTATCTTCAACTGATTTAAGGGTAGTAATCATAATTTGGTTAGCAATTAACCAATAATCTGGTGCAATATTATTGACTTTTTTAATTTCAATGGCTTCTTTATCTTTTTCAATCATTCTTGTTAGCAATTTTCCTTCATCTAATAACTTTAATTTTAAACAATTAACTTGTCCATTTAAAACAGATGAAACAGTCATTTGAATTGTTTGTCTTACTACTGTACATAAATGGTCTCCATAAAAAACATCCATCATTGAACCAAGTACATTTTCTGTAACAATAGTATCATATACTTGTTGGAATCCACTTAATACAAGTGAAAGAATAATATAAACAAGATTATTTGTAATACTACCTACCTTTCTTGTAGTAAATACTTTTTCAAAATCACAGACATGTGGCATTAATGCCTTAAAAATACCAGGAAGGTTATTTAAATCACTATAAGTTAGAACTGTTGAACAAGCAAGAATATTACTAATAATTCTAAAGCATTGTTCTACTAAAAAGTCATTATCTGATTCAAAAACATATGTAATAAAGTCTTTTAAAATTGGTTCATTATTAAATCGTGTAATGAATTGCAATGCTGGTGAATCAACACTTGAAACTTTCCATAATACAACATTATGAATGAATGATGAAATATTTCCAATAGTATCAATTGATTTAGTTGTCATCAACGTTTCTAACATTCTTGCAACAAAGTTTCTTTCACATATCCAATTAATACATCCAGTTTTTCCATTGTCATCTTCTAATTTCATTATTTGAAGAATTGTTTCAAGTAATCCAGCAAGGTCTTGATGTGCCATAATTGTTTCTAAAATATTTTCATTTTTAATAAATAAGTCATAAACAACTGAACCATCTACTTGAACTAATGACATAAGAACTTGTCCTGCAGCACTCATTCTTGTTTCATTTTCACTTAATAATGCATCAAAAAGATAATTAACTAATTCCGGATTAATTCCAATAGCATCTACAACTTTTACTGGTTCATCCCCAAACATTGACGAACAAATAATATGGTATTTTGAACAAAGGTTTTTGTCCACATCTTCTGGAAAATCTTCAGTTGTGTATTGAAGAATTCTTTTTAAGTTATCTAGTTCAGAACAAAATTCAATAAGATCATTATTTGAACGAAGTTCTTGATTAAAATCTTCGTCATCCATTAACTTTTCTAATGTACAATCTTCTTTTCCAAGAAGAATGTCAATAGGTGATTGTGTGGGTGGAAATCGAAACGTCCCTGTCCAATAATTCATTCCCTTCAATGTGAGTGTCTTTATTATTGTATTAAATCTTATTTCAATTTGACAATAAACAATTCATAGAATTTGAATAATTAAAAATTTAATTGAGAGGTACTAAAAACAAACGATCTTTTTTTAGAGTTATTAGATCATAACCCTTTTTTATTTGCCCTTTACAAGAATTATGATGCATAGTTTGTACTTATTCCCTGAGCCTATTTCAAAGGAATTACTTGGTTCTTTGTTCTCAACAGTTTTATAGATTCTCTTAATACTATAACTTATATACTCAAACTTCCTTATTAATTCCTTATTTTTCGGGAATTTAGCAGAAATTATAAATAGATCATTCTTTGAGACTAAGATATTAAATAAAAAATAATTCAATTATACTTTTAAGTTTGTTTAAATAACAACAATTTTGTTTCATACAACGGTATTATAAACTTAAAACAATCAAAAAATGGGAAATACAAAAAGAAAATTCCTTAAATGATTTAGTTTGATATGTTCCAAGTTAATATTCACAAGGTATAAAGAATCATAATAATAAATACATTAAATTATTATTGGTATTCAATTGTTAGAAGACATTGAATGGGTTTATCAAAGTTTAATTCTGAAGAAGAACAAAAATGCATAAACCCAGGTCTTCCAGTATAAGGCTCAAAATAATGTTTCGCTTTCTTTCGAATAGTTACATGGTCTTGTCTGAGTTCAATCTCAACAATAACTCTCCTTTTGACAGAATTGGTTGCTCCAATAAATACTGAGACACACTTTTCTTCTATTCTATGAACTCCTTGAGGAAATATCAAAATCTCCCAGGGCGTTAGTTCATATATCCATTTAATAATAACTGGGAACGAGTATGAACTTTCTGAAATTTGATCATTTGGATTTACCCAAACACTACTTTTGATAATTTGTGGATTTATTTGGTCAATTTCGAAATAGTCATCGTCTCTCTCATCTCTATTATCAACAATCAACTCCTGATGATGAGTTAACTGATGTTCTTTTAGTGTTTCGAATGTGGTTGTTGTTCCACATTTCTTTGAAAATGGACAACGAATTTCTTGTTTCATCAACAAAGAATAGAGGCATCTTGATGTGTGTTTAATCGTCAATGAATTTGTAAATTCCCCTCTACAAAAAGGACATGTCATCATTCTCTGGATGTCCCACCATTGATACAAACACTTCTTGCAAAATAATTTGCCACACGTGTTATGTTCAATCACTATATGATTATCATCCATATTTTACAAAAATCCATTTTAAACAAACTTTCTTTTGGATTAGGGATTTCAAGACAAATTGGACACTTTAAATCAACAAGTGTTTTGGAAACAATTAATTCTTCCTCTATTGACATCGAATAGTGTATTTAACTATATTCTTTCCCTAAACATCCTTTAATGTGTAATATTCTATCTGTCTTTTCATTTGGAGAAGTTTATAAGTAATAAAAAACAAAAAGGTTCAAGAAATATTATCTGTCCCAAGTCTATAATAATTCTATAACAGATACTAATCCATTAGATATAGTCTCTAATATTCATAAACCAAGCTTTCAAAAAAAAAATATTGTACCTAAATTTTTTATAACTTATGAGTAAAAATGCTTCACTTGCATTTCTTAGATATTAAAAGTTGGTTGACTAACTAGAGTTTAAAAAAGAGAATGATACAATGTTTTAAAAATAAGTAAATACAACAAAGAAAATGATTGGATTAAAAATACCTTAAAAGGATTTAAGTTATTAAGACTTGCAAGTCAAATTGATAGTGTTGGAGTAGTGAGTTATATCATTGAACATTATCCGGAACGATTAAACTACCAAGATGTGTATGGGAAATCATGTCTTTTTTATGCTGTTGAACAAGAACAATGGAATACTGTGAAATATTTGATTAGTAAGAATATTAATTATTATATGGCAGATAAAAATGGAAACTCATTATTACATATTCTTGCAAAGATTAAAGCCAAAAAGGAATACGAGGTTATATATTTTGAATTAGTACAAAAGCTTATTTCTCATAGAAGGATAGTGAGAGGTAAAAATATACTTGGTGAAACACCATTGCATATTGCTTGTCTTAATAGTCACAAGAAATTGATTCAATTACTTATTGACAACAAATCATTAATACATTGTAAGACTGAAAAAGGATTAACTCCTTGGGACTATTGTCAATTTAGTGATAAGATTTGTATTGATCTATCTACAATGAATGACCCAGATGATGGCACACCAAATAGTGTCTCTCCATTTTCGAATGAATCATTTAGTGATAGTGAACAAAGTGGAGGAAATAAATTAAGTAAAGGTCAAGAGATGTTATCACCTCGTTATGTTTCAATAAAGAAAGGTCACGAAACACCTCTTGAAACAAAGAACACAAAAGAAATAAAAGAAATAAAACCCAATAGGAGTCAATCAATCCTTCATCTCAAAAGTAAAAGTGATATTCCACCAGAAGTAGAAACAAGTACAACACTTAATCTAAAAGAAGAACATAAAAGTAAAAACACAACCCCACGTGAAGAACAGACAACAGAACAGAATGGAAATCAGAGTCAAGAGAATAATGAAAAAGATGCTATAAGCAAAACAGATTATAAAAAATATAAGAAATATAATATTGATGAAGAAAAGTACAAAAAGTTTGAAGCTTTAGCAACTAAATTTGCAGGTTATTTAAATCCACCAAAACCATTGCCACCTAAAGCACCTTATCAAAAAGGAGATAAGTTTAGAATATTATCATTAGATGGTGGAGGAATTAAATGTATTTATCAATGTGCAATATTACAACGAATTTTAGATAAGTTTCCAGATTTTTTTGAGAAAATTGATGTTATTACAGGTGTAAGTGCAAGTTCTGTTCCTTGTGTTGCAATTGCATTAGGCTATGACTTATTGTCTGTTGAAAAGATGATGGAAGATATGCTTTGTGAAACATTTTCTAGGATTATCAATAAAGGAGGAATTGTTGGGCATCAATACTCAAATAAATTTCTTTTTGTTATGGGAGATAAAGTATTTGGAGATTTAACAATGGACAAACTTACAAGAAAAGTATGTATTCCATCTTATCTTACTGACACTGGAAAAGATGATCCAAACAGAACAAGTTTAGCTAAATTTTATAATAATTTCCTTGGAGAAGAAGTTCCATATTCATTGACAGAAGTATGTATCCAATCTGCAGCTGCTCCAGGATATTTTGGGAGTGTAAACGCTCACTTAGATGGTGGAGTTATTATTAATGAACCATGTGGTGGTGTATTATCATATGTTATAGGTGAATATGGATTAAATGTTGATATTAAAGATATATCAGTTCTGTCAATTGGAGCAGGATATCCAGCAATTCCATATATTCCAGAAGAAGAGTTACGAGAAGCTGGACCTGTTAAATGGACTCTTCATATGCCTGATTTACAAATTGAATCAAGAAAATCATTTATTGAGTTTGAAGGAAAATATTTATTGGGAGATAGGTTCTTCAGATTAAATCCTAAATTACCATATCAAATTGATCTTGACTATTGCAAAGATGTTGAGTTAATTAAAAGTATGGGTGATAATCTTGATTTAACTGAAACATTTAAATGGATAGAACAAAACTGGTAAATGAAAAAACCATTGTTCTTTAAATTAATATTTTTTGGTTTTTTTTTACATAAAATCATCTGAGTTGTTGTCATTATTTTCATTTTCTTCATCCATATGTTCAAATACATCAGCATAAGAACTAATACGTTGTTGTTCTTTAGTTCTTCTAATATCTTCAGCTTCTTTTTGTTTCTGTGATAATAAATATTTGATTAGTAAATTAGTCATGAACTAAACAAACTCTTTCTTGATATTCTTTAGCACGAAGTGACTTTAGTTCTTTTTGATAATCAAACCAATCTTTCTTATGTTCTTCTAATGTTTTTTCTTGTTTTGTTTTTTCAATTCTATTAACAATAGAATTGTCTTTAATAACTTTTCTAAGTTTTCTTAATTTTTCTTGATGAAATCCAACTTGTCCTATGTCCATTCCATTTGTCTTTTTTAAATTACTTGCTGGTGTATACACAATATTAACACTACGTAATTTGCATCCTTTAATACTTCTTGATTTGACTAATTGACAACAATCTTCCAATGCTTCGTCTGGAAGAGTTTCGATTGTGTCTCCATCTTTCATTCGGAGATAAACATGTGCTGATGATTCACTGTCAACATGAAACCATAAGTCATTAGGAAGTGCATATTTGATAAGTTCTTCATTCTCATATTTGTCAATTCCAACATAAACAAGATAATCCCCTCGAATCAAATAAGTAAAAACCATGTTGAACTATTCTACTTAACCCTTCTAAAATTTTAGTTTTTCTTATTTTTCTTAAAGAAAAGAAAAAAAAAAATTCTTTGAAAGAAAACTTTAATGAAAAATTCACTTTTTATAGCAATTATTGCTCTAACACCATAATAGTTAATAGTACTAAATATAACAAGTATATGTGATATAAAATTAAGTAATGAATGGTTTTGAAACATTTATAATATTAAAAGAATCTTTTTGTTATTAAATTATCAGTTTATAGAATTAAATCAAATGAACTATTTTATCATAACATTATTGAGCTTTTATTTGGTGTAATACCTTAATACTAAAATGTATTTTAATATTTTTTTGGGAATAATTATGAAAATAGATTTATCTAAAGTATGACATTGCCATTTTATATTTTTAACATTAAACAGTCTGTAGTTTTATGTTTATTATAATAGTTAATTTTTTTATGAAATGGTTCACAAGCATAAACTTAAATATTTATTCTATAATATTTATTAAATTTGAAATATTATTGTTAATGTTATTACTCATTTTTCAAAAAAATGAATTTATTTTGTATTTTTTTTAACTCATTCAGTTTCTTTTAATAAAAGAAAGTACAAAATAAAAGGATAATTATTTTTAATTAGAGAACAATTGTTACTGCTAGTGTTTGTTTGTGTTTGTTTAATATTGTAACATTAAATTATTTCTCATTATTATAAGAGTTTATTGTAAAAATAATCAGTTTAGACAATAAAATAAGAATTTTTTTGTTTATTTGTGAAGTGATTATTAATCAGTTTATATAATTGATTTTAGTCATATTTAATAAATAACATTTTTGTATGTTTCACATATTTATAATTCATTCATTTTAATTCATAAGTTAATTTATAAATACATACAAAATACATTTAATTTAAAACAGTTATTAACCAATAAATGTGGCTAAAAAATTGAATTATTTTTAATTATTTAAAAAATATTCAGAATTACTTCTAATAGGTAGCTGGTAAATTAAAGTTTTTAATTTATCTTTATAGTCATATGATAAATTTATAAATAATTAATAAAAACAGATGTTGTTTTCGTTGGCACTAATCTAAAATTAAAAAGTGATGGAATATGATATAAAGTATTTTTAATTTTGTTCTTCAATTGTAATTTAATTTCATATATATCTTGGTAAAGAAAGAAGGAATTGACTAAACACTGAAATAACTAAAACTAACAAAGAAAAGTTATAACTTAACAACGAATAGTTCTAAATATAAAACTTGAAATAAGTTTTGAAACCTTTTGGAAATAAAGAAACATAACAGTATATACGTTTTGTCAAAATAAGGGGGGGGGGGTATTTTTTCCATATAGAATAAGCTATTTGAACATTAACCAACAGGGTAATTTTATGTGCTTTTAAAAACAAATGTCAATTATAATAATATAAACATTTTAATGAGAAGAAAAGTCTTTAAAATTCTGCATAAGAAGAGAATAACTGAGAGATAAGACTTCCATCTTTGTATTAATAGAATCATTCCAAACGAATTTAGGATTGCAACGATAAATGCGATCAAAAATAGAAGGTTCTCTTTCGTTTGAAAGAAGGGAAAAGAAATAATATTCTATTTCATCTGTTAATAACAAGTGTGTTGAATGAAATAAAATATCAAATAATGAAAACCATTCAAAATAATCCAAAGTCTCGATAGTGTTTTGCATTTTTTTAAGAACATACCCCAAAACAAATATATCTGACTTTGCTTTTTCTATTGCGTTAGTCAAATGCGATGAAATGCAAATCAAAAAAGATACAGAATCGATGGTTTCAATACCAGTAGAAATAAGGGTTTTCTTGAGAATTGTTAGTTAAATTTGTTGTGAGAGAAGAATAAAAGTGATACGAAACAAACAAGGAATAATTGGTCAAAATTGAAGATTTCTAAATATTCTTCACATATTTTACTTTCGGAAAATTGATTTCCAGCACAAAATGATTTATCAAACAAATCTGTAATAACAAGTTTTGGATTTATTTTAGAATTAATGTAGGGTCTATGTGACTTTGAATTTGATACATCAATCTGTTTTTTATCTTCTAAACCTGTTGGTAGTTGTTGTATGAGAGTTTGGTGATTGCAAATTTTGTTTTCATTAACGATGTTTTGAGTCTTTTCATTAATACAGTTTGTTGATGGGTTAATGTCAAGAAGTTCATCTAACCTTTTATTAATTAACTTATAATGTACCCAACGAACAGTAAATTGGTCAAACATAATAAGAAAAATATGTGTTAATGCAGAATGTTTTCTTGAACCACTTTTTGTTGGTTCAGTATGACATTTCCCATAATTTATTACTGTTCCAGTCCCAGTATTGAAAACGGTTACTTCTTGTTTTTTAATAGTAACGGGTTGGAGGTACACTGTTCTTCTTTGGAAAGTCTTATCTTTCCAAAGAATATATTGAAACAGTATTTTGTTTGACATACAAACTATTCATTTTTAGATGAAATAAATAATCTATTTTAACATCTTATTTTTTTCTCATAAATGAGTGTAATTTCCTCATTGAATAATTCTTTGTGAAAGGTTGGTCTGCGTTATGAATTGTGAACTATAAAGGAAAACGCTTATTTTTCTTTTCGTTTTTAGATACTTTTTGTTTAGAACTATTTACATATATTTATATTAATATTCTTAAAATAAATGTTTGGTTGACTCACCTTTTTTTTTGGTTTCACTTCTTATCTTTTTTTCAATCTCTTTTTTTAAATCTATAATATTTACTTACAACTTGTTTATAAAGTGAACTGAATAAGGATTATTAAATGTTATACGTTTATGCTTTAATTAACGAAGTTTCTATGTTATTCAAGAAATTAGTTTCCTTCTTTTGAATTTGATTTAGTTTGGATAACAACTAAAAAGTACATGTTATTTCTGACTAAGCAAATAATTTTCAACTGGTTTTTTTTTTAAATATAATTAATCTTATTGATATTTAAAAAAATGAGTGCAGAAAGATTTATTACTTTAAAATTGCTTTTATCAATTTTTTTTAAATAGAAAATGTCCAATTTTAGGTTCTTCTAAAAGAAAAATTTACACAAACTCAAACTAAGCAATTTTAAAGACAAGACACAACTCTTAACTTCCACCATAGCTGAAACAGAATTGTTGAATTTGTATTCTTGTTACTTTCTTTTCTTTAAACTAGACTTTTATTTATTTTTAATTGGATTGTTATTGGATTATTCCAAACTTTTAGATCATATTTAGACAACCAAGTTCACCTGACTTTGGAAGATTTAAACAACACCATAAATACCTTGGTATTTAATCTATAAATGGCTTTAAATGATTCTATAATTCTTTCATTTAAAAATTGTCATAGCCTAACTTAAAAAATAAAATTCTTTATGGTGCATATTCTAGAGGAAGAAATACAAGTTAGAACTATTTTTTGGTATAACAATAAATACTGTTGATGATTAATACTAAGGATTTACTAAATTAATTACAAAATATTCCTGTTTTTAACATAGAATTAAAGGGTTTAATTTTCAAATATAAAAAGTGTTAAATCCTATTGTTTAATAATTATAATAAATTGAACTAAACACTTTGAGATGTTAACAAGTGTTATTGAATGAGAAACAAAGAAACTGTTTTTTTTCTATTGAGAATAAACTTTCTTTATTTGAGTTTTTAAAGTTCTATCTTTTCTTTATGAAAATAGTAAAATTCTAACATTGTTTTTTTTATATTTTTAAAAGGACTTTAAGAATTTACTTTGTAAGTTATTACACCATTATTTACTTGATATTTCTAATAAAATTGTAATATTTTTGATTCTCAAACTAAATTCCTTTATTTTTATTCTTGTTGAATCAATTCGATGTTTATTAATAACAAATAGAATGAGTTAATCTAATTTTTTGGTAAATTATGGAGAAAGAAAGTATTTAATACGGTTATTTAGATATTGTTTCTTGCTGATGTGGGATTAGTTTTTTTTTATTTTTATGACATGAATTTACTGTTTCAACCATTTTATAAAGTGAAAAGTTTTGAGTAGAGTGTAGGTGGTAGTAACATTTAAGTTGTAAATTTGTTCTTAACTGCGGTAGTATGTGTCTAATAACATTACATGATATAATTGATATTATACATCTATTTTAGTTATTCTTATCATTATGAAAAACAAAAATAGTAATTAGATATGTTATATTTACATATGAACTAATTCTATCTTTATGAAAGAAGTAGATTACCCGTATTATAAATATTAGTATTATTATGTTGCTTCAATTCATTCAATACAGTTTATTTCTACCACTTTGTTTTTTTTATTCTGAACCAAAAGATTATGAGACAACACAAATTTCATCTGTCTTTATATTCTATGATGATTTTTAATTCTTTCCCATTTAACATTTTTAATTTAAATACAAGAACGTATGTTAATATCAATGTGTTATAGTCATTAATTCATCAGGAAAGAGGAATTTATTACATTAACAGAATGGTTGAAAGCAATATTGAGGTTGTTTTTAAACAAATATAAAGCATAATGTAATTTTATTAAAGAAAGATACAAATATTGGTAGAATCAAATATAGTTTTTCATTTGATATTTGATATTGAAATTATTATTTTGTTATTGATATATGGTGATGGCTTTTCTTAAAAAGACTAAGTTATGAAATGAAGAAGAAATGATAATAAGAACCAACTGAACAAATTGATACAACTTGGTAGTAAATTAATTAAATAAAGTACCAATTCAGATAATGATTGTTAAATATTTTCATTAAGAAATAAAAAAGAAGAATATAAAGAAAGAATTAAAAGACAATAAATTGTTACATCAAAACAAAGAGTCTATAATATTTATTGAGCTTGAATTTGGACCAAATGGAAATAAACACCTTCTTCTTTCATCAATTCATCATGAGTTCCTTGTTCTACTACTTTTCCTCCAGAAAGAACAACAATAATATCAGAATCTTTTACAGTTGATAATCTATGAGCAATAACAATTGATGTTACTTGTTTAGCAATCTTGTCAATTGCTTGTTGGACAATCATTTCAGATTCAGAATCAAGTGCTGATGTTGCTTCATCAAGAATAAGTAATTCGGGTTGAGTTATTAATGCTCTAGCAATAGCAATTCTTTGTTTTTGACCACCAGATAATGAAGTTCCTCTTTCACCAATAATAGTATTATATCCTTGTGGGAGTTGACAAATGAAATTATGACAATTAGCCATTTTAGCAGCAGCTACAATTTTGTCCATATTTTCTGCAACAAGATTTCCTCCATTTTCTAATTGGTCATCAGTCCAGCTTCCACACATACCACTAACAATATTTTCTCCAATAGTTCCAGCAAATAATAATGGTTCTTGTCCAACATATCCAATTTTATTTCTTAATGTTGCTAAATTAAATTCTTGAATATTTCTTCCATTAATTTTTACTGTTCCTTTTTCTG